CAAAGATTTTTGAGAAGCACCAACAAGAGGATTTGAAGTCCAGACCAGCCCATGAAAGACTTTATTTTAAAAATAATCAAAGAAAAAAGGGCTAAGCATGAGGTTTAAGTAGTAGAGTGCCTGTATAACAGCACAAGATAATGAGTTCAAGCCCTATTAAAAGATTTGATCTTTCCACAGTTAGATTATAGTAGCTCTTCATGTAAGTCTCTATGAGTTTGTTATCTAGAGTCAATGGTGCTTTGTGAGTGCTTGCATTAATTTCTTTCATCAGTCTTTGGCAGTGAAGTTTACAGTTAGGATTTCTTCAAATAAACTCTCTTTCTCTCTGTTTCCCTCTCTCTCTTTCTCTATCTCTCCTCCCTCTCATTCTTTCCTCTCCATTTCTTCCTCTCTCTCTCAGCTTTCTGGAACTTCTTAGTTTGCATGTTGGTTAGCAGATGCTGTTCCACAAGTTCCATATGTTCGCTTCATCTTTCGTTGATTTCTTTTCCATTTTATTTCTGACTCCACAAATTCTTTTTCTCCTTTTTTTCTTTCTTCTGTCTGATCAAATCTGCCTTCACAGACTTCTAATCTATAAAAATCCTAAAATTAATGAAAAATAAATTGCAGAGATCAAAATACAAAATCTGGTGCTTTCAATGCCCCTCCCTTCCCAGAAATACCACCACTGTATTGTGAAGTAGAAATACCACCACTGTATTGTGAAGTAGGAAGCCATTCTTATCTGCTAATTGGCAATGCCAGTTTTATCATGTAAGGATAGAGCTATCCATTCCATTCCATTCTTTTGCCTTTTTCTCTGCTTCTATCACCATGTTATTCAGTAAGTATTTACCATATGTCTTCTTGTAGTCCTTATCTTTGTAACAACATATACATTTTAGATTCATCTTTTACGTTTCACATACACACACAAAGAAAACCTGCTGGGATTTTTGTTGGGATTGCATTTGAAAACAAGATGAATAGTTTATAATTGACAACTTTTTCAACGTCAAATCTTCTTATTCATAATAATATAATATGTAATATCTTTTAAAGGAAACTTTAGTCATTTTGTTATAAATATTTATACTTAAGTAGACTCTAACATATTCTAATATTTGTTATTATGTACAGTATCTTTTTATGTCATATTCTTTTTATTTATTTTTTATTGTTACTAGGACTTAACCTCAGGGCCTAAATGCTGTCCCTTAGCTTTTTTGCTCAAGACTGCCACTCTTCCACTTGAGCCACACTTCTTCTGGCTTTTTTGGTAGTAAATTGGAGACAAGAGTCTCACAAACTTTTCTGCCTAGGTTGGCTTTGAACTGTGATTCTCAGTTTTTAGCCTCTTGAGTAGCTAGTATGACAGGAATGACCCACCAGCACCTGGCCACAGCACGGGTGGCTCATACTTGTCATATTTATCCCCTGAGTATAGAAATTCAATCGACTTTGAAATGGATCCTTTTTTTTATTGTGAAAATACTATACAGAGGGGTTACAATTACATGGGCAAGATAATGAGTACATTTCTTATCAAGCATTGTTGCCTCCTCCTTTGTTTCCCCTTCCCATCCCTTCCCATCTCCCACCACCTCACCCACCTGAAATGGATCTTAAACTCAGTAAATTAATTAAAATACTTAATTGGCATAACTTTAAAATTCTGATATAGTGTTGAGCATAAGATAAAAGCAGATTATTTTATCCAGATTGTGATTTATAAGGAAATTTTATGGTATTTTACCATTTAGTGAGGCATACGTTATTTATGTAATGTTTCTTTTTATAACGACATAAGCTTTTATTTATTTTTAATGAGAGAGAGATAGGAAGAGATAGAGAGACGGAGTGAGAGAGAAAGAATAATGAATGGCCTTTGGATTTTGGAGACATTTTTTTATTCAGCTCTTTTTTTTATTATGAAAATACTGTACGGGGGGTTACAATTACATGGGCAAGATAATGAATACATTTCAGCCCTTATTTTTTATTTGTTCATTTTTTTCTATTGTGAAAATACCATACAGATCAAGCATTGTTGCCTCCTCCTTTGTTTCTCCTTCCCATCCCTTCCCATTTCCCCCCACTTCCTCTTATACCTCCCCCCTCCAGCCAAAGTTGTAAAGTTCATTTTTCGACATAACGACTTGTACATCTCATTGTTGCAATATAATTTGTGGAGGGGAAGGGCAAAAACAACTCATTTAAATAGGGATACAGGTGGCCCTTTGTTGTTTTGTGATTATTTTCACCCTTATTCTTTGGGATCATTCTTATGCCTTGCTGGATTTATTTTGCTGATATTTTGTTTGAAACTATTATAATAACAGCGATGAGTGAGACCGACCTAGAGTTTTTCTTTCATTTTTCTACCCCTGTCTAGTGTCAAATTACTTGGCAAGTGTTTCTTCTCTTTTGTGTTCTAAAACCAAAAATCTTTTTTTAAAATTTATTTTTATTGTGAACAATACTGTACAGAGCGGTTACAATTATATGGGCAAGATAGTGAGTACATTTCTTATCAAAGGAGGCTTCTTATCAAAGCCTCCTCCTTTGCTTCCCCTTCCCATCCCATCCTCCCCGGCCCCCCTACCTAACCCTCCTCTCCCCCACCAAAGTTGTAAAGTTCGTTTTCGACATAACGACTTGTACGTCTCATTGTTGCAATGGGTCCACCTGTATCCTTATTGAAACCATTTGTTTTTTCCCTTCCCCTACACAAATTATACCAACATCAAATACAATGAAAGCAGGGGTTATACCATGGGGGAGGGACAGACAAAGCAACAAAGAAATAACCTTATAAATGTGTTAAAAACAATTGCATGAAAGAAAAAAAACCATTTGAATACATATCTTAGGGCTCATTTCCCTAACATCACCTTATCTGACCTTTTTTGCTTGACTCAGACATATACTAGTTATTGCAAATAAAGGAAACCATGGGACCTATGTGTCTTTGGGCCTGGCTTACTTCACTTAATATAATTTTCGGAAACCAAAAATCTTTTAAGCTTGAATTACCAGTCTCCAGAATGCTTGAAAACACCTGCCAAATCTTGTGTCCTTTTGCTTAAAATATTTCCTTACTAGTAATATAACAATTTTATTTCTAACTTGAATTTTACAATATTTGTATGTTCATAGTCATTTTTTACATTTAACTTACATTTTACATGATGACATATACATTATTTTTGTTTACTTTTCCTGTTTCATCAGTCACTTCTTGAATTAATAAATCAGATTATTTTAATTAAGATAAAATATACAAGAAAAAACTGCAAACCTTGTTAAAATTTGAATTTAAGTGCATTTTGTTAGGTGGCTCTATCAGACATTTTTCTATTTTGTTGTAACATTTTCTTCTTTTAAAGATGAGCCAAGTGCAGTGGTACAAGCCTATAATCCTAGCTACCTGAGAAGTGGAAGTTAGGACTAGCGGAGGCAAAGAGTTTTGTGGCTCCATCTCAGTCTCCACTGAGTCACGGTGGCACTAGGCACTCTCCTGCCATCCATAACTACAGGAGGAAGCAGAAGTAGGAAGAGCACAGTCTTCCCCAGCTTAAAGGGGAAATGCAAAAAGGGGCTTGGTGGTGTGGCTCAAAGAATAAAGCGCCTCCCTATCAACCAGTTCAATCTCTAATACTGCCAATAAAAAGAAAGGGATTATTTGTCATCATTTTTAGTTAAAATTTTTATTGTGAAAATACTGTACAGAGGGGTTACAGTTACCTGAGCAAGGTCATGAGTACATTTCTTATCCAGCATTGTTGCCTCCTTCTTTGTGCTAGTTAATTAATTTAAAACATTTGTTTAATTGAAAATATTTACTCTTTATTATGATTAGAATAGAGGTTAAAGCAAAAACTTGCAACTTAATTTGGAAAAAATGAACTTCTACATTTTTTAGTATAAAATTTGTTTAAAAGGTTATATAGGAAACCATCATTCAACATGAAATCAGTGCTTTTAAAGTATCTGGTATTTAACCACACAAAAGTCCTCCCAACTTCTTTCTGTTCTATCATGGTAAGTCTACAAAGTTCTACAAAGTCTAGGTTTGATAAGACAGGGTGGGAACTAAGTCTATTTATGTCAGCAATAAATCTTTGTCTAGTAAACATACTTAATATGACAGAGGTAAACAAAGATACACCAGGAGTCTATAAGAAATGTATGGGAATGAACAAAATTTCATCCCTGCCAAGAACATTTTATTTCCCTAACTAAGCTGATTTTATTCTTTGCCCAAACTCTGTATTACAGTACAGTTAGTGAAATGTTATTTTAGATCAGGAATAACTAGTTACTGCCTGAGAGTGAGTCACTAATGATTCAGTTCTGTTATTAATATATGTATATTTTTTTCTATGTAGATGTCTTAAAGGTACATTTGACATTGCAGCAGCATATATTATATATTTGCGAATTGTTCAAATTTGCTAGAAACTGCTAGAATTGTTCTTCCCTAAGGACAACATGTATTTGTTAGGGTGACAGAAGATTGATGTGGAAAAGTTCTGAATATTAATTTGGAAATCAGATTTTGACTCCACTAAAATTTTTGGTAATTACTAGATTATCTCTGAGTCTGAATAAATTAATTTACTTATCATCTCACTTACACGATCTATAAATCAAAAGTCAGGATTTTCACTTCCTGATTCTCTTATAGTTAAAATAATATTAATAATATTTAGGAAAATAGATATTCCTAAACTTATGCTGTTTAACTAATTTAAGTTTAAGCTCAAAATACTTTAGAAACTGACAAATATTTGGTGTGATAGGAAAATATTCTTATAATAAATTGCTTGGGGTTTAGAACTAATTTGACTGACATATTTAGTTTGTGCTATTACAATTTGCCCAAGTCTTTTGAATGGTCCAAGTCCTTCAAATTGTAAGAATGAAGAATAACATTTTTGGGGTTCTATCTTATTACAGTTGTGTTTTATATCCACTTATTGATTTATTTCTTTTTATTTTATAAATTACAGGGTGGTTTCACTCGTAAATATTCACTGAGCTCAAAAACAGGAACACTTCTTCCAGAATTCCCCAGTGCTCAACACCTTGTGTACCAAGGATGCATTTCTAAGGACAAGGTATCAATTAAAGATATTTCTCTATTGATTTTCTGATATGTGAGTTCCATATCTCCATTTGCTGGGAAGCTCATAGCACTTGGAGGAAGCAGTCAGAAACCTGCGTAATCAAACAGAAATGACTGATTTATAGGAGAGACAAATGTTTACTAACATTGATTAAACACTTTTCAATTAATTATTTACCATCTCTATGATAGCTTGTAATCAGAAGGTAGTGAAATAAACCTTAAAATGCTATAGATTATATTTTTAACTTGACCCTATAGTAAGGAAGAAAAAGCTAGAATATGTCTATTGTGTACAGTTTCTTTAATTGATAAAATGAAGTTAGTTTATAGGTAGCGCCATTGTACTTCAGGAAATAGTCATTAAGCATCTCTCTGGGACAGACTCTGCTTCTAACACTGAGCAGGAGATACTCAGAGAATGCCAAGACTATACAAGAAGACTCCTTTAAATGTTAAAATTCTGGTCAGGTGCCAGTGACTCATGACTGCAATCCTAGGTCTTCAGGAGGCTGAGATCTGAGGATCAGAGTTCAAAATCGGCCTGAGAAGGAAAGTCTGTGAGACCTTTCTCTCCAATTAAGCACTAAAAAAGCTGGAAGTGGAGCTGTGGCTCAAGTGGTAGCATACCAGTCTTAAAGCAGAAAAGCTGAGAGACAGCACCCGGACACTGAGTTCACACACACACACACACACACACACACACACACACACACACACACACACAC